TTTTCAATGCTTAATTTGTCCTCAATGTATGTGTAAATTCTTACAGGTGATCTACTAGGCGGCTAGGTCGAGATGATGTTATAACAAATTTGTATTCATTCTCTGTTTTCTAAGTTCATAGAGGGGGAGTGAGACGTGGGCAAATTTTTCAAATTGTGATTCTAATTTTCCTACCCAACGAAATCAATTTACATATGACATAGAAATACCTATATAGGTTTTCAGCTATCACTGTTTTAAGTTCGAACGTCGACTTCCTAAAGCAAATTCGTCATAATGCTTCCTACAATATTTATAGAGCAAATATCCAGAAAGAATTTAATCTTTCAGCAACGATTTATGTTTTGATTTTATTACACTCATTGACCCAATCAAAAAATCGAAACATTTCGTCGTAATCATCACGCGCAGCAGCAGGTGGATTAGAGTTTTCAATTTCATCAGTATGTTCAACTAAATGTTTTTTAGCCAATTGTTTATTTGCTGCGGCGTTTCAATTCTTATTCGATGTGTTACCTTAAATAGTTTCCTTACGTAGAAGCGAAATTTTTTAGGAATAGATATTTTGCCCTATCTAATATAATTTTGAATAGTTTTAAAAGATTTATTTGTCAATTCATTCTCTATCAATGCCACAACTAGCAACAGTTCGTACTGTGCATCTCTCAGCAAATTTTCTCTCTCAGAAATTATGTTTGTCGTCACTTATTCCCTCAACTCAAAAGGCGGTTACATTAAAATAATTGAGCCAACTGAGTTCGGAATCTCTGTTGAAACCTAGAAAGTAAAAACAATAGATAATATTCTATTGATACATTTTGTTGATATTAAATCAGACAAGTACTGTCATACATGAGACGTTATATAGCTAATATTATTAACCACATTAAATTTATTTGGCAATGGTAATTACGTATGATATGAAAGAACAATGACTAATTGGTCAGTTCTGTTATTAATTTATCACATTTGCAGTTAAATGGTTAAATATTGCACTGGAGCACGATGTGACTCACCTAGATCAATGCAGTAGATAGGAAGATACAGACGAGAATGGTTGAGTTGTCGGGCTTAAATGGAATTTTAAATAAATTCCTGGGTTTATGTAATTAGTTGATCAGGGCCATTCACCCATGCTCACGTCGTAAAATCGTGTAATAATTTTGTTGCATGTGCCGGTCTGAGCATGAAAATCACGCTAAACATGGCTCCTCTCACATGAGCTTATTCTATTCTATTCTATTCTAAGTATTTTATTAAGGTCGAACGTCGACTTCCTAAAGCAAATTCGTCATAATGCTTCCTACAATATTTATAGAGAAAATACAGTATGCAGAAAGAATTTGTTCTTTCAGCAACGATTTATGTTTTGATTTTATTACATTCATTGACCCAATCAAAAATAAAAAAAAATTTCGTCGTACTCATCACACGTAGCAGCAGGTGGATTGAAGTTCTCAATTTCGTCAGTATGTTCAACTAAATGTTTTTTTAGCCAATTTTTTATTTGCTGCGGCGTTTCAATTCTTATTCGATGTGTTACCTTAAATAGTTTCCTTACGTAGAGGTAAAAGTTTTTAGGAATAGTTATTTTGTTCTCCCTAATATAATTTTGAATAGTTTTAAAATATTTATTTTTCAATACATTCGCTATCAAAGCCACAACTAGCAACAGTTTGTACTGTGCATCTCTCAGCAAATTTTCTCTCGCAGAAATTATGTTTGTCATCACTCATTCCCTCAACTCAAATGACGGTTACATTAAAATAATTGAGCCGACTGAGTTCGGAATCTCAGTTGAAACCTAGTAAGTACAATCTATAGATAATATTCCAATAATACATTTTGTGATAATAAATCAGACAATTACTGTCATACATGAGATGTTATCGCTTATATTGTTACCCACATTAAATTTATTTGGCCATGGTAATTACGAATGATATGAAAACTAATTAGTCCAGATGACTTATAATTAGTCATAACAGAACTGACCATTTATTGGTCAGTTCTGTTATTAATGCATCACATTTGCAGTTAATTGGTTAAATATTGCAATGAAGCACAATGTGACTCACTTAGATCAATGCAGTAGATTGGAAGAAACAGACGAGAATGGTTGAGTTGTCGGGCGTAAATGAGAGTTTAAATAAATCCCCGAGTTTATGTTATTAGTTGATGAAGGCCATTCACCCATGCTCAGGTCGTCAAATCGTGTAATCATTTTGTTGCATTTGCCGGTCTGAGCATGAAAATCACGCTAAACATGGCTCTTCTTACATGAGCGGATGAGATAATATGACTGACTGTTATGGCATCAACTAAAGTGGTGCGTTAGCCTTGCTAACGGTGCTGTAATGAACGTAGCTCAGCTCCGCAGCCTATAGCACCGAAATAGTATTGTGAACGCATATCAAACGGATGTGTGGCATACGTGTTGGCATTTACTGCGTTCAGCCGTGCATATTACTCCAACGCTGGCTGAGGATAGCGTTCCCTTTTCTGTCTCGCTCGGGTAAATGTATCATGCGACGGTGGTGGCAGCTCTGTATGTATCCAATGTATGTGGGGCGGTCATTATCGCCCCGGTTTTGGAAAGTATTTCCAAAATTTAATTTAATTGTACATCCCAAAGAAGTATCTTACATCAAAATACTCGCTCAAGCCATGAGTTCTCGGTTAAAAGAGTGCATGGTCGACCCTGGGTAAATGGTCGTTTACAAAATTTTGCTGGCAAATATTCGAAATAATATTGCGGGTCAATTCAGTAACCCATAATTTGAGCTTTTTATGCAGATTGTGATGATACACTCATTTTACTATATACCTGTCTCTTATACACATCTAGATGTGTATAAGAGACAGGAACCAACACCAGGGGCCACGGCTATAAACTAAAAAA